CCGGATAGCGCGCGTCCACGGCGCCAACTTCGCCACGCGGGATTATAATTTATCGTCCGACGCGAGGTTCGCTACGCCGCCTGTCCACCATCTTCCCGTCCCTCCCGACATTTTGGATCCTTGAACTTTTCGCCATCCAGCTCCTCCCGTTCGACGCTACTTTAGAAAAGTTACCTTTGCAATTCGCAAATAAAATGTAAACGGCTCGATAGTTTTTAACGGAGCACGAGTTTCCATTTATATATTAAAGCGTGCCCGTTCTTCGAGATCGCAGCCAGCAGAAATGGTAATAGGGGGCACTAAATGCAGCAATCGTTCGATCACGATCCCTCGATTTTGTTTTGTACCACTAAAACGTTGTTACATTCCGTTCGATTGATCAAAAACGACCCCTACTTGCTCGGAGCGGCACAATTATTAATTGACGGATCGTCGATCAATTACGAGCGCGGTTTGATCACCTCTCGATCATCATTCATTTAATACGCTATACGGCGTATCCCGATCCGCGCGTAATTCACGACACGATCTTGTGCAACCTTGTACGTTTACTGCGCAACAATGTTATCTTTCTTGCCAACACCGTACCTCGTGCTACCTCTCGTTGCATCATTTGATCCGAGTTTTTCGAGGCTTGATCGATCTCTCCGGATCCTCTGAAATCATTCGCTGAAATGTTTCGTAATAATAATTTTTACGCGACACCAAACCTCTTTAGACAATTGAGATCACTGATTTCCAACTTTCCGTAGTAACCGTTGTATAAACCTGAAACGAAAGTGAACCTTCGATGAAAGAAGGTTCAAGAACAGCCAATAGATTTAAATCCAGGACTAGATTGCAATAGAACCATTCGTCGAGCCTCGTTTCACATTCCTTTCTCCGGCCCCGAGTGCTTGAATTTCTACGGGGGTTCTTCCTGATTATGGTAAACAAAGTCGTTAACTGTTGCGTGAATTTTACTCCATCCTCTGAAAAGGAAATTGTTTCCTGATTATTTACACGTCCATGAATAATTAATACTGAAATTAAACGACAGGCAAATGAATCCACGTGGCTATTAGACGTCTCCTTAAGAAAATATCGTGCACGAGTCTCGTGAAATTATCTCTGTACTTAATTATTCCCGATTTTTCAATCTTTTCGCGTTTCATTAACGTTTAATTTTCATTTTTAGAAAATTGTTATTGTCTGGCAATCTTTCCAGCTTCTAACTATACTTATCGATGTTGATCTTCGATTGGAGTGTTCGAACGCGTGCCAGGATGGCGGTCAGTTTTCCTTTCGTCGGAGACAGTTGGGATCGAGCGTTTTCCCTCGATGGAACCGCGGAGGGGCGGGGAACGATGCTACGAGCGGGGGTGGAATATGAGATGCGGGCAACTGATTTATTTAAGGGGCAGACCAGACATCCGGTTTGTCGAATTACGCGTTAAGAGCGCCTGTAGACGGAGTGGCGGAACAGAGACGAGGAGATGAGCGGAGAGCGAGAGAGGCAACGAGGTGGAACGAGAGCGCGTAGCCCGTCGACCCGTTAACCGTTTATCATTGCATCGACACAAGTCACGCAGTGGACCCTTGCTGTCCATTTAAAAAAACGAAAAGTAGACACGGGCTTTAGTAGGAAGTGACGTCATCGGTGTCAGGAGCCAACGTAACCACTGATCTCGCACCACGCGAAATACCCATCGATCTTTCGGGAACATGTGTTCTTCTCGATCTCTCCTAGGATGAATTTCTTTCATCAAAATAACGCAATAGACAGCACTGACCTTGGCTAAATTGTTCTAAGTGTTTTGGACATCGGAGTAAAATGAGATTTAATAATTTTTTTCGTGCCATTTTTCGTGACAGATTTTTCCAGGACATTTTATCACAGAAAAAGATTTGTTTTGAAAATAATGCTTACGGAAATATTAATATTGGTATTCAAATTGGAGTTGTTGAATGAACGAGTCGCCTATTTCTTTAAATGTAGAGCGGAGACTTGAGTCGGTTGTTGGTAGTGGGATTCGTCGTTTCCCGTGGACAGTAAACCGGGAGTGTAAGGAATAATCAGTTCACGTTTAAGTGACATAAGAACGTGTAATCGATTCATCAGCACGCTCGGTGTCTTCCACGCAATTACTCGATTCAAACGATTGCGGCCGACAAGATGATCTTCACCTCGAAGGTGACAATGACAACCAGCGCCCTTTGTTTCGTAGTTGGTGCTAGTAGGAAGCAATCCAGCGACAACCGATGCATTATTAATGTCCCCCCTTCGCTTGTTACCGCTCTTGTACTCGCTCGCTCGACGTATATCCTCTGCGTGTCCGGGACAAGTGATCGCCGAGCCTTGTAATGAAAATTAAGACGTTCGGGGCGAGAATTATTTCCACTTAATTAAGACGCGCGCGACTGAATTATTCAGTCCGATTTCAGGAAAATTCAGATTTCCAATCGTTCTTAAATCGAGAATATCATTTTGTGTTACTATTCGATCTGCACAAATACACTCAAAAGTCATATCCATTTCAATAATTGTCGATTTAAAAGGAATTTAAAATTTCGAATCAGTGCTCGCGAATATTATTCCAAGCATTTTATTTTTTAATTTATTTCAGAATTAAATTTGCAAACTCACATTGAGAACTATAAATTGATAAAATAAAGTTCAAATTAATATTAAATAGACGATTCAGTGGTATTATCAGTTTCTGTAATTTCGTTTACGGTTTCGAAAGTCTTTTTCTATATCCCGAACGGTCTGGAATCCATGTCAAGTGCTTCGAAGTATCATCAGAGGCTCGCAGCAGCGATTCCTCGTAACGATCGAGCGATGAACGAAATGGACGATCATCCGGGTCGTCAACTTCGTTTCCCACTCGTGGTGCGTGGAACTTTTCTCCGATGATTCAATCACTTAGTGCTCCGACACACTGAAACGTTCGCTTATTCAGATACCTGTGCGGATCATTAGAACGGAATCGTTTCGTCAGGAAATTTCTAGATCAACAAAATGCACGATCTACGATATATATTTCTAAATTGATTAAATTATTATTGACTGTAATATAGATTTACGGATAGTATCGAAACGCTTGAGTTGAAAAACTCTCTGGACTCGACTGGTTCGTTTTGAAATTAATTCTCCTATATGATATTTAACATCGAAGAGGAACGACTCGGTTCGAGACGCGATCGATCCTCGAATTCCATGGTTTCGAGTTTACAGTTGTACCGTGTATATATTCGCGCGAAAATCACGTCGTATCGATCGCCGCGACACGAGGTCGTAGAATAAGAATTCCAGAGCCCGGGGTCGGTATCACGAAGCGAAATGTCTGGATATATCACGTCTGCCGGAGCAACAATGAGTGACAGCTACTCCCACATGCTGTCATAGGCGTCATCTTCGCGATAATGTACCGACTCTCGGCTCCCTCTCTCGAATTGCCTGCTCTCGTATCTGGTTAAAATCGTTACACGGTCAAATCTATAGGACCTTCCTGCTCGGAGACACATAACGAGGACGTGTTCGTCGACGAGGACCGGTCGAGACTCGACGACCCGGCTCTGTCCGCGTCTACGACCGCTGTTATTCACCTTGGAGATGCGACGACGGACATTTAAATTCCGCAAGCATTTTCTGTCGAACGGAGATATCTGATTTAAACGGCTTCAATTCGACGACCAAAGACTTTTTTACCTTCCCGCTTACGAAGTATTCCCCCTTACACGTGCTCGCTTCTAGATATCGTGTACGAACATGACGGATACGTATGGCACAGTGTCTCCCAACGTGGCAGTCTTCTTTTTACTATAAAACAATCTATTTCATTAAGATCTACGGAAATCGAGCACACCAGGCAACTGAAGACATTGTCACTGGAATTTTTAAGATTAAGTTTCCGTATTCTTAACAAGTAAATTTAATTATCCATGAAATGCAGGGTTGACCATTTTTTAAAATTTCCTCTCTTTCACCACGATTATTTCCACTAGTAGAGAAATAAAAGAGAAGGGGATAGCAAAATAGAGTACCCTATAATTTGTTGAGTTGTTTCGAAAAATAATTTCCATTTCTGAGCGTTGGATAGCGAGGATGAAACGTGTGGGATTTTGGGGGACTTTTAATGGAGGAAGGTTCGGAGCGGAACGGATTCCGAAAGACCAGCAGCGTCGAAAAGGAACAATTAGGCCCGTTCACGGGGAACGCTCGTCGCGTATTCCTCGCACGGGCCCCGACCGGCAATTTGCTCGGCGTTTTTTCCCAAACGGGCAACTTCGCGGCTCCGTGATTATCACACGGCTACACCCGCGGAATAACCGAGCGTCGTCGAATATTCGCTGAGCGCGGCGCCGATTCGTAAGACGCGCGCGTCGTCGCATCATTTATGCCGGCAGCATTTTCGAGGAATGGTACGTGTGCTCCGCCTTTAATCGAGATCGAAATCGGCCGCCGTGGACTCGTCAATGATATTCCGTTTGCGACAACGGTACACGCGCGCCAGAACTTGTACACCGCTTTAACACGTTCGTTAATACCACTCCGAATACCTCGACCCAAAGACCACGTTCGCGATTTAAAAAAAAAGATTTATCGATCCTCGAATTATTCGAACGCATCTTGTACCGTGTAATACTCCGAATCGTTGAAATTTTATTTGTTAATTACTATCGTGTGATCCAAACTGGCTTGTCTCTCGTGTAAAGTTTTTACTGTTTTTGTTTGGTTTATCTATGTCGAGTATCTGTAAATTGTACTAATATTAAAATATAAAGATACTAGATGTTAAAATGAAACCAAAATGATTTCTGCAATCTAGTGTCGAGTTAGGCAAATTGTCGTTACGATTAACGAGTATCAATTTTAGGATTCTGGTGATATTTGATTAGGGATGAAAATGGTCTGCTGTGGTGAAGATGATGAGTTTGTCCCTGGATCGTGCGGAATCTAGAGTCGTAGGACGTTGAACTCGCAATGTTAACGTTGGTTGTTGGTTTGTTTGTTATAGAGGCCACCCTCCTCGTCGCTCTCGTACCCCGGAGCGGGTGGTAACGACGATGCACGCAGCCCTGGAAGCGGGGGCACGCCAGGACCCCTCAGTCAACAAGCGCCCACCAGTCTGGACTCCTCGGATCCCGGTAAGTCCCACGCCATTTTATTTTGCAAACACCACGAGAGAAAACAACTGATCATGGTGTACTTTACGAGAAATTTATGGGTCATCCTAGACCCGTTTATCTTACATGTCTAGAATTTGCGAGGAATTAGAAAAATTTTTCAATTCGAAAATTAAAAATGTAGAAGTACCTGTCTAGATATTCAACAAATATAAAAATGAACTGCTCTATTAAAATTCCATTGTCGCTGTAGAGCAGTTTTAATATCAAATACTCTAAATAGTAGAGGGGTCGATACAATGGAGGAAGATCTACATATAGAGGAACTCGACTAAATTTTTTAATACACACATGTTTGTGACACAGTGTTTGCAGTCGAAGAATCACCTGTAGCATGATTGTAATACATTCATGTGTTGAGAAGTTTATTTTTAAGTTCGAAGTGCAATCTCGTGTTAGGTTGTCAGAGCTTCCCAACTGTTGCTTCCACCAGTGATCAGAATTACTTGTTCGATTATAGACGATTAACAGTTCGATTTCCCATTAATCCGCGAGGATGATTAAAATATGAATCGCGAATCGACGGTTTCTACTTCCTCGGCGATCACGAGTCAGTCTATTTTTAAGTTCGATGGGAATGGATAAGACCTTAGACCGTTTGGGCGTTCGAGGACGCAGAGGGAGAGTGATAGATCGTGGGAAGGTTTCGAATCGATCCGTCGACGTCGATCGATGAAAACCGAAGTGGGTATGCGAGTGGAAAGAGCGTTCGGGGCTGGCCGCGCTAATGACAATATCACGCGACGAGCAACGGGTTGATGACAATCAAGACGCGACTTGTCGAGACCCCACGGACCTTCTGCACGCCCTTCAAATTTTACGAACACCGACATGAGCGCGTCAACACCATCAAACCCGCGGCAACGCCGGCTAATGAGCAACCCGTCACATTGGCGTAGCCTAATGCTACATCTTTTTTTCTAAAACGTACGTAACGTTTCTCCAAAAAACTAATAACTTCTCCCAGATGGTCAGAAAAATTATTAAAAATCTATTTCCAAACTAGTCAACCAAATAACTTCATCAGTAACGAGTGTGGACATGTAGAGTGTAGTTTAAAAACTTCGTATGTTTCTATTAGAATCTACTCGCGTCCAGACAAGGTTCCATTCCCGACAGATTAATAAATTGATCTCGGTAAAAGTGGATCGTCGAAATAATTATCTAGACAGAGGTTCGTTCTATTCTCGGACGACGTCCAGCTCCTAACCGACGAAACAAAAGGCTCCGGGGCGCAACAAGGGTAACAGTTTCGCGGCGCGGAATCGGCGGCGAGGCGCGCCAATGGTTAGCGCGGTCGGGTTCAGTCAGTCACCGGAGGGTATACAAGTTCACGACACCATCCCATAAAGATTCATTAAGGTCCGCCGTCTCTATATTCGCTGTGTCGTGCCAGCGTTATAGAGCCGCGTGGCGTGCCAGTTCGCTGGACGTTCGCTCGTGTATCGCGTGCGTGTGTGTGTGTGGGTGTGCGTGTGTGTGTGCCTACGACTCTGTCCTCTTACTTTTCTGCGTGCTGGTGTACGCCAGCAGAGAGTCAAAACGGTTGATCAATAACAATCAAAAGCACGCTGTACCGGGGACAGAGGGGGAGGGGGAGGAATGAATGGCTTCGGAAACGGTGCCGCGAGACGTTTAAGCTGTCGTCGCCGTCCTCTGTTAGGCTCCGTTACGATGGCGCTTCGGATTCTGATAAGGTAACGAATCTCAGCCAGGAATATTTCTTTCGAGACGATCGACCCTTAAAAGTAACCCCACAGTTTAGAAAATCACATTGAAAATAGTTGATCCCGTTTTGGGGTCGTCTAGTTCTCCGATATCTTTCTCCAATAGGCATTTTCGGGGTTCTCGTGCTCGTCTACCTAGCTCTAGACATCCAGGGAACATTCTGACCTTTTCCGCGCGGGCTAAATATAACAAACGCCTCAGACATCTGTTCTTCCTAATACCCGATGGTCTCGGAGATTCGCTAAAAATACTACTAATGTTCCAGTTTTGGTGATTTTATTAGAAACGAGCAACGGTCAAAGAACGAGCTATTTTGTGATCCTTCTTATCTCTAATAGGTCTAGACTCCCAGAAAACCTCTTTTTCTGATCGCGAGAGTCACCGTTTTATCCGGCTAATTCTGGACGCCGAGTAAAATCTTTCTGTTCGCGACACCTGGTGATGTCAGGGCACGGCAAGAATACGTCGCGGTGACATCCTGTAATCGCTGGCCGCGTATTTGTCATCGAATTTAAAATTCATCGCATGAGAAACGACGGTCGCGTTCGTGACGAGATTTCGATCAGAGGCGGCGATCGCCGCGACTTCTGCTCGCTCGTATTAATTAAAGGACGTTAAACAGTAACGCAACACCTCGTCCAGCGATCGCCACGGAATCGTTATCCGCGAGAGTATCTAAACGAGTCGCCCCGACGCGAAACATCGCGATCGTTGTCTCGTTACGGGCGAAACGCGAACATTGTTCTTCGCTTCGAACGCTGGTGCCTCGATCGTTGACGGAAATTCGGGCTCGGGACGCGACGATCGCGGATCTAGCGCGTTCCGGGTTCGAGGAAAGTCCCGAGAGGAAAGAATTTTCGCGCGTGGAAAGCGTGCGACGAGAGAAACGCGTCGATCCACAGCTTTCACCAGTGATTGAGCGGAAACTGACACGCTAGATGGAAGTTTCATGATAATTGCAATAATTTTATTAACTGTCCGAGATCCAGTCCAGAGATAGAGGAATATTATTTCGAATTAAATGAAAATTAATGCCCGTGGCTTTGCTTGATACTTGCGCTGGAAGAAATTTAACTCGCGCCTAGCTACTGTGTGCAATTATTTTTCGTAATCAGTTACTACACCGTCATGTTGGAATCAATTTCCAGAGAATTAAGAAATTTTATTCGTAAACAATAAATTCTGTATTTAAAAATGACTTTAGAATTTTGTATAAATGGGGATTACACTTATACAAAAGTTCTATTCTGATTAGTGGAATAAATGGAGTATCCATTTTTTAGTTACTGTATAAGATATGGATTTTTCATGTCAGAATTAAGATTAAAGTGTTCCTCGATAATTCCTCGTTCGACCAAGTACCATAATCGTTAAACGGCACATCGAGGCCTCGCGTGGCCCAGAGATCTTGATTTTTTGCGTCCATCCGCATCCGAGATTCCTGTTTTCGACGTCCGTTTCGAGCATAAAGAGGTCTCTGTTTCTGGAACGCTGGTATCTCTACGAAAGTTTTGCAGAAATCGCGATCGCCGCTCGTGGCGTCGAAGGGACGTTCGAGGAAGTCCTAGGACTGTCAACAGCCGGATGCAACTATGTCTCGATACTTCGTGAGTCTCACGGAAAGGCTCGTTGCTTGCAAAAATCGTCCATTCTTGGGACAGAAATATCCTCGATCCCCGCTGAGAACCGCTGTTAAACGTTCACCGAATCGATTCTCCTCGGTAAACAAACCAACGCGCCGCATGCTATTCTCTCGTTAATTCTCGATTATAGTATTGTTTATGCTTTAAACAACGCGGGGAGTCCCTATGGAAAAGCACGCCACCACGAACCGTTGCTTAAAGACGCGATTGCAACAGGATCCGTTCGAAAGACATTTCGATCCTGCGACATCGGGAAAGCCAGTTCTCTATCTAACAAATTGCTTGAAAATATAACTGCTTCTGTTTCGAGAGTATCGTTGCCGGGGATAGTGTTGATTTGTAAGCGATAACATATTATATGAACGTTGCTATATGATGAAACATTTGATTTTCACATTTCCTTTGAGTCCTCTCACAATTGAAGGATACGTCGTCCATCGAACGATATAATTGGGTATTTGCGTGGAAACTTTAGTCAGTATTGTAGGAAACTGATTTCCTTTTGAAAATATAATTATTTAAAATTCATCCAGCGTTTTTAATCTGTTTGGATATACAAATTTCGTACTTTAGCGTCGGCTACACGCTGAAGAGTGGAGGCTGTTCGGGTTACCTAACGGCAGAGATAGGATCGTCTCATCGAAGTTGTCACCGTCGGACAAGGTATTTGTTCGGCGCCCTTCGTAGCTTTCCTCCGTCGTTTCGACCTATCCATCGACCCTTTTCGTCGTTTCCCTCTCGTTCTCGGGCTCGTTAACGTGCCGGCGTGTTTGCCGTCAGATATCATCTTCGACGGGCTGGCCTTGTCCGCGGCCATGGAATCTCCGAGTGGACCTAATTTCTATCGTCGAAGAAACATTGGATCTCTCCCTTCCGCCCCTTGGTGTGTGTTTTGCTCGTTTCATCGGGGAATTTTATTCTAGGATACCGTTTTCGTGAGTCACGCTCAACGATTCGGTCTCATATGCATCGCGCGAGAACATGGCGTCCGTAATTCCTAAGAACCGGGAGGCAATTGTACTCTCGAAGCGCATAACACGTACAAACACGAGGTCAAACCAGTTTTAAATAATCCCAGTCTTCTTTCTTCTTCGTGTTGCATCCAGGTACTGTCTATAATAAAGAATGTACGAAGCTTCCACGCTCCACACCTCGATAGTTGCACGAGTCCTCCATACTCGCGTACCCCCATTCCTGCATCCACGTTTCGTCTCAACGAACAAAGTCCGATCGAAAGTCTCGGTCCACAGTCGTTCGACTAGTTCTCGACCAAACGGTTCTATTCCATCGCGACGGGCAGGCTGACTCAATCGGGAGCATTCGCGCGAGCGTTCCAAGTATCGTTCAGCGAGTTGACGAGTTCTCACGGAGAACAGCATCGCACGGGAGCAGCGTGGAACGTTTCGTTCGTCGAGGTCGGATCGAGATCGATCAGTCGGTCGAGATAGAATCTCTTCTAACCTCGACGGGAGAAGGAACGTGTTTATCCGCGAGCGATTGCGACACGATGTATGTTAATGTCCGGAGCCGCGCTCCTCCACGTGCCGCTGGCATGCGTTTCCAGCGTGTCCTGGAAAGATTTTTCGCCCC